GCTTTTGAGCATGTGCAATGGTGTGGTACTCAGTGTTGAACACCTGACTTTCTAGGGGAAAAAATTCCCGATTCCCATGTTGTAAATCCTGCTAGACAATTTCAGTCTACCAGTGTGGTGTCACTGCATGTGGAGTTCAGAAGAGGCGTACGCAATGGGCTTTCATGAGTATAAACTGACTGCATACCACTGGTAATTATTTATAAAATAGACATGTCACTACTGTCCTATTAAATATACGTGTACATGTGTATGTGTGTGTATGTGTGGATGCATACATATTCTAATAGAGTTTGATTTCTTTCTTTTTTTAGATTTAAAAAACCCAACAATCAGTTCTGTTATCCCTAGGAAACCCCAGGCAGGTCGCTATGAGTCAGGTCCGACTCGACGGCACATAACAACAAGACGATAACTAATGGATTGCTTACACATCCCACAGGATACCCTACTTGGGAGACTACTACTCTAGACGTCCAGACCTTGCTTTGGTTATTTGCCCTCTCCTCTGTATCGTCAACTTCTCCTCCTCCTTATATCATTGTTATCAGTACAAAGTCTAGTGTATTCTAGGCTCTTCCATTGTTAAAGATCATCCTTTGATCTAGCGTTCCCCTTTACTGCCAACTCCGTTTTTCTATTCCTCTTCATAGCAAAATCAGAGATTTCTATACATGCCATCTCTTCCTCCTCATCTTTCATTCCATCTCCAGCCCACTCTAGTACGTGTGCTGCCGAAGCAAGCGTGATCTCCAGCCTACTCGAATCAGACTTTCTTCTCACCAGTCGTGTGAAATTGCTCTTGTCATTGTCATCAGTGATTTCCGTGCTTCCAAATCTGGTGGGTAATCTCTGCCCTCATGTCAACTTGACCTCTTCTTGGGGGTTGACGTAGTATATTGACGAAGAAATACTCTTCTTTCCCAGCTTTCACATTGACATACTGTCTTGGTTTTCTCCCTGGTCTCCTCTCCCGAGCCTTCCTAGGCCTTTAGAAACCAGGGGTGTGCTGACAGTGCCCACATTTATTTCTCTGTCCCCACTTTCTCCGACCTCCAGACATGTGTATCTAGTTGCCCCCTTGCTGTTGCCACTTGAATGGATATTTCGTAGATATCACTACAGATCCAGCTCCAGAATGTTGTTGTTGCCGTTGTTACGTGCCCTCGAGTCGGCCCCGACTCATAGCGACCCCTCCTTGGGTTGCAGAGGTGGTATCACCATGCAAGTAGATTGCCCAGCCTTCCTTCCAAGGAGTGGCTGGTGGGTTTGAACCGCCAACCTTCTGGTTAGCAGTCAAGTGCCTTAGGCACTACGCCTACTAGTTCCAAAACAGAACTTTCCATTTCTCTTTCTTCTTCCTGCCATGCTTGCTTTGCAGCAGTCTTCCTTATTTCAAAAATATAGTTAATTCTTTATTCAGTTATTAAATCCAGAAATGGGGAAGTTATCTTTACCTTCTTTCCTTTCCTCATACCTTACATCTAATCCATAAGCACGTCCTTTGGCTCTACCTACAAAATATGTATTTTATCTGTCCATTTATCTCTGTTTCTGCCCTAATCCAGACTATCATCACTTTTCTCCTTGACAGTTGTAATAGCATCTAATAGGATTTTCCACTTTCACATTTCCCTCTTTCCACTCTATGCCCAATATTATAACTAGGATGATTTTTATAAAATGTAAATCAGATTATTCTTTCTTTGAAATCTGCCAGTGCACTGAGTATTGAAGCCCATTTCCTTACTTTGATCTCCTGCTCTGCCTTCCTCTTCATCTTCATTTCATGTCACTCTGCCTTTTTTTTAAATGCATTTTATTGAAATATAATTTATGTGCAGTGAAATACACAAAACTGAAGTGACATGGGTCAATGAATTTTTTTTTTTTTTTTTTTGCAGTGTTTCCTCCCTTCCCTGCCATTGGTTTTTATGCTCCAGTAAAATTTGCCTTCTTTTTGCCCCTAGCATAAAGTAGTCTGTTTCCTCAGTGTCTTTGCATTTTTTTGGCTTCTCTTCCCAGGAGTCCATTTCCCTAGCTCATCACATCCTGATGCCTTCTTTTCCTGAAGATCTCAGCTTGAATGCTGTCTCCTTAGAGAGTCCATTGTACTCTAATGACAGATTTCCTCCTGGTTGTTTCTGTCCTAGTACTTGCTATGATTTGGGATTGCTTTTCCTTATTTATTTACATGATTAGGTAAAAGGCTGTGTGAAAGCAGGAACCTTATCTCTGCCTGGTGTTTGCTAGATAAAAATATGCTGAAGGAAATAAAAAAAGTATAAAAGAATAAAGAGTGTTACTCTGTTTATTGTATACTCACTCACTCAGTCACTGCCCTTGAGTCGGACCCGACTCATAGCGACCCCTCCTTGGATTTCTGAGGTGATGTCTCTACGGAAGTAGACTGCCCATTCCAAGGAGTGGCTGGTGGGTTTGAACCGCCAGCCTTCTGGTTAGCAGTCAGATGCATTAGGCATTACACCACCAGGGCTCCCATTTATTGTATAAGCAGCATTTATTAAATGAAGATACAGAATGGGAAAGGAGCCCTGATGATGCAGTGGTTAAGTGTTCAGTGGCTCCATGGGAGGAAGACCTGGAGATCTGCTCGTGTGAAGATTGTAGCCTGGAAAACTCAGTGGGCCAGTTCTGCTCTGTCACTGGGGGTTGCTATAAGTCAAATCAACTTGATGGCACCTAACAGCAACAGCATAGAATGGGGAAATGTGTTAAAATGGGGGCAGCACAAAACTCAGAGGTCAGGCTAATATTATTAATTGTGTCTGGCTGCTCCTTGAAGGACTCAGCATAAAACAGTGAGAGGGAAAATATCAAATGAAACTTCATAGGGGTAAATGTAATATCCCGCATTTAGGTTTCACAAAAAAATCGGGGGTCTCTGGCTTGACATGAATTTGTATGTCAAGTCCTGGAAGCCAAAAGTGGTGGCTGAAAAGCTTATGCAGTCTTAAACTGTGTCAATAAATTTTAAGGATTTCTGTATTAAACCAAACCCAACCCGTTGCTGTTGAGTTGATTCTGACTGAAAGTGACCTTGTAAGACAGAGTAGATCTGCCCCAGAGGGTTTCCAATGCTGTAGATCTTTATGGAAGCAGACTGCCTCATCTTTCTCTTGCAGGGTGGCTGGTGGGTGACCATTTGATTAGCAGCCAACTGTTTAACCACTGTACCACTAAACAACAACAAAAAAGCCCCAAACGCACTGCCGTGGAGTCGAATCTGACTCATAGTGACCCCTCCTTGCATTTCTCAGGCCATATCACTATGGAAGTAGATTGCCCAACCTTCCTTCAGAGGAGTGGCTGGTGGGTTTGAACTGTCAGACTTCTGGTTATCAGTCAAATACCTTAGGCACTCTGCTACCAGAGCTCCTACTGTACCACTGTTGTTGTTGTTGTTATGTGCCGTCGAGTCAGCCCTGACTCATAGCGACCCCTCCTTGGGTTTCCGAGGCAGTATCACTACGGAAGTAGGATTGCCCAACCTTCCTTCTGAGGAGTGGCTGGTGGGTTTGAACCGCCAGCCTTCTGGTTAGCAGTCAAGTGCCTTAGCCACTATGCTACCAGAGCTCCCACTGTACCACTAGGAGGAGGGAAATATAGTATTCTCCTTCCATGACACGAGTAGAATTGTTACAGTTTTCTAGAATTGCTATAGAATACCTCATTCATTCATTCATTCAACATTTAACGAGTGCTTTTTGGCACCACTATTGTAAAACCAAAACCAAACTTACTGTCCTAGTAGTGACAAAATTGTCACAGCTTGTGCATTCATGGAATTTAGTGTCTAACTTCCAAAGAGAAGTAAATTCCCTTTCAGCGAAAGTTGGAGCAGAAACTAGCTTGTTATTTATTGAGAGGCAGTCCAGTCTGCTCGTTAGGATGAACTTGGGCTCTGGAGCCAGATGCTGCAGCCCAGGAGGTTCACATTCCAGCTCCAGTATTTATCAGCCATGTGACTTTAAGCAAGTTTTAAATGTCTCTGTGCCTTACTATTCTTTCTCATCTATATACTAGAGATAATAATAGTATTACCTCCTAAAGCTGTTGTGACAATTAAATGAATTAATGAATGTAAAACATTCAGAACAGTACCTAGGACATAAAAACAAAAATCATATTAAGTCAATAATAGAAATTGATGTTTATTTTATATATGATTTGCAAACTGGGGTAACATTTTGACTAGAATAGAAAAATGATTGAAAGACAAGAGAACCCCCAAGGATTTTATACTCAATTTTATTGGCATTGCCTTGAATAAGGGGCCTGAACTGAACTGATAAACACTTTTGTGGTCAGGAAGGATTTCATACCGCATTGTCTTGAAGAACAATTGAAATAACTACTGATTTATCCTAAAACACAGTCTCAGTCTGACCTCTGGTATCTTGTTTCCTTACTGGCTTCTTCAAAGAGCACAGTGCCCAAGGCAGAGTAATCTAATTAGTTTATCTAGTCCATTGTTTGACTGTATCTTCAAGACTCAAGATTCAAAAGGACATTTAGTGGGCAATGGCCTGGGATGGTTACTTCAACTCCATGGGCCCCAGAAATCTGGATTCTAGAAGAATTAAAACTATTTCTTAATAATAAGCACTTACTAAATAAATGGTAAACAATGGCTTAATAAAATTGTGTTTTCTGGGAGGCTAAAGGCTGGAGGACAAATTGAGGGGTTTGGGAAAAGTGTAACAGAGGGAAGCTGGGTGATCAAAACCCAAATTTTATTATTTTCTTTATATTAAAGATTGTTAGTAGTTTGCGCTAGGACCCGAAAACCTTGACTGGAGAATTTGGTGACATTTGATTTATATTCTTCTGTTTTGGGCTAGGGAAATATAAATCCTGTTTGGAAATGTCACTGTATTTTTTTTTTTCTTTATAATGCTAATACAGAATCCCACCTTTGGAAATAATAAAATTATGGTTCTCCATAAATACATATTTTTGCTTTGATTTTGTTTCAGTGGCAGCTGAAGTATCCTAAACTTGTTCTCCGAGAGGCTGACAGTGTGTCTGAGGAGCTCCATAAAGAGGTTCAAGAAGCCTTTCTCACAGTGCACAAGCATGGCTGCTTATTTCGGGACCTGGTTAGGATCCAAGGCAAAGACGTGCTCACTCCAGTATCTCGCCTCCTCATTGGTAATCCAGGCTGCACCTACAAGTACCTGAACACGCGGCTCTTTACGGTACCCTGGCCAGTCAAAGATTCCACTATCAAATATACCGAGGATGAAATAGGTGCTGCTTGTCAAACCTTCCTCAAGCTCAATGACTATCTGCACATTGAGACCCTCCATGCTTTGGAAGAACTTGCATCTAAAGAGAAATATAGTGGTGATGCCGTGCCAGTGTGTATAGCTCCAGATTTCTCCAGAATTGGTTTGGGGTCTTCCTTTGATGGACACGATGAAGTGGGCGTTAAGAGCAGAGCAGCATACAATGTAACTTTGTTGAATTTCATGGATCCTCAGAAGATGTCATACCTGAAAGAGGAGCCTTATTTCGGGATGGGGAAAATGGCGGTGAGCTGGCATCATGACGAGAATCTGGTAGAAAGGTCAGCGGTGGCAGTGTACAATTATAGCTGTGAAGGTACATACAGTCTGCTCTGGGAAGAAGCAGCCTTGAATGTAATATGACCAGAGTTGTTGAGGCTCTGGAAATTTACAGATATGTCTGTGTGTGTAAGTGTGTCTGTCATGTGTCCTTCCTAGGCTTGCTATACTCGTACACCTGCAGGCCAGACCTCTTTCTCACCTAGCTGTGCTTTCTGGCTCATGGTTACACTGTACTCAGACCTGGAATATTTTTGCATGTAAGCACCACTGTCATTCTGTCTTTCCCATGCCCGGGAGAGCTGCATCTTAGTTTCATACAGCTAACTGCCTTTCTCTAAGCTCAGAGTAGATTATACAGTTGCTATAATTAACTTGCTGATAAAGGACCGACCAGGAAGACAAAAATCTGTCAAATCTTTCAGGTTCCCACAGGTGCACATTTCCAGTGTTGCCCAAATATTTTATTACAGCTGACATCACTGTCTTTATGGGAGTGATTTGTCAAATATGGACTTGTTCCTGGCTTCATATAGTTTTTGCTACTGTCCTTCCTTGCCAGAAGCATTTATAAGCAGACAATCTTCTATTTTCATGAAACTCTAGCCCCTCACCCAGTTCTGCAGTTTTAGACCTAATATGGTTACTGTGGCAAACATATTTTTGAATTTTCTAGAATCTGGTCCCCTGTGAACCAAAATCAAACACACAAGTGCTAAGGCTACTGTTTAGTGGCCTGTCCAAAATTTCCTTCTTTTCTTGTTCAGTTTCTGTGTGTTTAGGGTCTTCTCTGTCCAGTAGGGTTGCAATGAGTCAGAATGGATTTGATGGCACAAGGGAGGGCTGACAGCAGGGTTCCTACTGTTTTTCAGAACAGGACTACCAAACAGGTCTTTAGGTAAACCTTGAGGACAGCATTGCTGACTTCCTTTTTTACCTGATTATTTGACAAGGGAGTCCAACACATACATAATATTACTTCTTTCACCTTTTTAGGAATTCTGCCTGGTTATGGAAAAATTAAGAGCCTTGATGGTGCAGTGTTTAAAGTATTTGGCTGTTAACCGAAAGATTGGAAGTTCAAACCCACCAGGTCCTTCATGGGAGAAAGATGTGGCAGTCTGCTTCCATTAAGATTTATAGCCTTGGAAACCCTAGCCCTGTGGGCCAGATCTACTGTGTCCTGGTGGGTTGCTGTGATTTGGAATTGACTCAGTGACAGTGGGTTTTGGTTTTCACAGAAAAATATTTAGAAAACTAGAATTCTGGATATCCATCAGGGAATAAACTGGAACTTTTAGAAGGCCTTGTTTTTTGATAAGGAGCCCTGGTGGTGCAGTGGTAAGCACTCAGCTGCTAACCGAAAAGTTAGTGGTTCAAATCCACCATCCACTCCATAGGAGAAGGGTGTGGCAATCTGTTCCCCAGAGATTTTTGGCCTTGGAAACCTGATGGGGCAGTTCTGCTTTGTCCTATTTAAGGTCACTATGAGTTGTAATGGACTTGATGTCAGTTTTCTGATAATGCTAGCTGTTTAATTAGATGTTTTTACACGTTGTTTTTTCCATTTGTTTTTTGTTTACTTACTAGAATGGCTGTTTTGGAAAAAGAACTTAAATCTCGTGGTTCTCTTTAACTTCATGCCATTTCCCAGCCTCAAAAATTTCCTCAGGATTTAACTAATGTCTTCTCTAATTTTACCTTATGTCTTTTGCCCCAAACAAGGAATAAGCTTAGTGGTTGGAACTTTCACCAGTCTCCCTGGCATCTCAAATAATAATGCTGACCTAATAATATCGCTTGAAGGGATTTGATGCTGTCCTAATGGAAAGAACCAAATCCTCTGATCTTTAATAAGGCCTTGCCAAGGATTTAAGGACTATCACATCCAAGAACTCTGATGTGAAGTTACAATGGAGTGTGTTAGTTTCTTTCTTAAGAAGGCACCTCTCAGAAACAGAAGTGGAGGTATGTGATAGCACAAATGCTACAAAGCTGTCTTTGTGCTCCTACTTACTCTCTGCCTTCCAGTTTAATGGTCCTATTGTACTCCTAGAGCGTGGGTGATCAAGTAGTTTTTGAAACCGTGGGTGATCAAGTAGTTTTTGAAACCGAGTATGTCTTTCAGAAAGGAATTTAAATTTTTAATGAATAGTTTCTATGGCTGGCAGAAGTTAAGACTGATAAAATATTCAAATATACGGTGCTGATAAAACAAACAGATAAAACCAAACCCATTGCTTTTGGAATTGATTCAGACTCATAGCAATCCTAAAGGACACAGTAGAACTGCCCTGTAGGATTTCCAAAGCTGTAGTTTTACTGCCACATCTTTGTCCCTTAAGGCAGCTGGTGAGTTCAAGCCACCAACCTTTTAGTTAGCAGCTCGGCACTTAACTAGTGTGGCTAGTTAAATGCTGATCTAAAATCCATTGCCAATGAGTCAATTCTGCCTCATGATAACCTCACAGGACAGAGTAGAACTGACCCATTAAAAAAATTCCCCCCCCCCAAAAAAAACCCAAACTCACTACCGTTGAGTCGAATGCACCTCATAGTGACCCCTCCTTGGTCCGAGGTGGTATCCCTACTAGGAGCTCTGGTAGCGTAGTGCCTAAGGCACTTGACTGCTAACCAGAAGGCTGGTGCTTCAAACTCACCAGCCACTCCTTGGAAGGAAGGTTGGGCAATCTACTTCCATAGTGATACTGCCTCAGAAACCCAAGGAGAGGTTGCTATGAGTCAAGTCTGACTCAATGGCACATAACAACAATAACATCTCTACAGAAGTAGATTGCCCAGTCTTCCTTCTGAGGAGTGGCTGGTGGGTTTGGACTGGCAGCCTTCAGGTTAGCAGTCAAAAGCCTTAGGCACTATGCCACCAGAGAACTAGAACTGTCCCATAGGGGCTGATAAATTGCTAATAGAGTCCCTTGAATTATCACCAAGAGTAGGAAACTGCAGAATTGGAATCTGTAAGAGCAGTGTGATTGTTCTCATTGCCCTAGAACTCTTTCTAATAATAATGACAGTACTGTGAACTCTCACTTATTGAGCACTTCCTAAATGCCAGGTACTGCTATAAGGATTTTGCCTGTATTAACTCCTTTTATTTTCACCGCACCCTATGAGCAAGGTATTGTTATCCTCCTTTTACTGATGAGGAAACTGAATCGCAGAAGGATGATCAACTTCCAATAGGTTATACATCTAGTAATCAACAGAGCTAGGACTTGAATCCAGATATTCTTGCTGTAAAGTCTTATGCTATGTACCTTTGGAATAGGTATTTCCAATCCCAGCAGTATGGCTGCCTCTGGGATTTGTTTTTTTAGGGTGTCCATCTCCTGGAAAGGTCAAAGGAGTACCCTGTTTGCTCTTCCTTGCAGATCCTGACAGGCGCTCCCCCACTCTGCTTTGCTTCCCTTACAACATCTGCTATAACTTTCTAGCACATACTTTTAGATGATTGGAATGTATTAGACTAGCTTATTCTTTTTCTAAGTCTCTGGCTAGGTGTGTGATTTTGGGTCAGATATTTTACAAAATATGTACCTTGGAAACTTGTGATGGATGCATTTCTTTCAAGTGATATTTAGTTCCTCTGGTCTCCTTATGATCTTGCCAGAGCTGTGGTAGGAGTAGACTCAAAGAGAGCCATTTGAGTTAAAATCATGGTTGGGAAGGGATTACAAACCAAAACTGACTGCCATTGAGTCGATTCTGACCCATAGTGACCTCCATTGGGTTTTCAAGGCTGTAAATCTTTATGGAGGAGCTCTGGTAGCGCAGTGCCTAAGGCACTTGACTGCTAACTAGAAGGCTGGCAGTTCAAACCCACTCCTTGGAAGGAAGATGAGGTGGTCTACTTCCATAGTGATACTGCTCAGAAACCCAAGGAGGGGTTGCTATGAGTCAGGTCTGACTCGATGGCGCGTAACAACAACAATAACAACAAGATCTTTACGGAAGCAAACTGCCTTGTCTTTCTTCTGCGGCGCAGCTGGTGGTTTTGAACCACTGACCATTTGCTTAGAAGCCAAATGCCTTAACTTCTACACCACCAGAGCTCCTTATGGAAAAGGATTAAGGGGAAAGAAAATGGATTCAGATGACTGCACTGTTTTCTATGTTCTTGAACATATTTGTCGCGTAAACTAAAGGAAGTTTAATGAGCTATTCTAGACAGTCCAAAGATAAACCAGGTGCCCTGTTTGCCTAGATGAATGAGGTAAGGCATGTGTTTGTGGCTGTAATGATGGAATGCTAGACTTGGAGGTGAGCTTTGAAATGACCAGTTCGAGTCTCTCATTTCACACATGAGAACATGGAGGTGGAGAGAAGGGAGGTGATTTACCTAAGGTCACATAATTGATGAGAAGAGCGGGGATTTAAATTGGAGACTGTTCAGTGCCACAGTAGAGGTTCAAGTAAAATGCATTGGGAATTCAGATATTGAAGTGATTATTTCCTTCTGAAATTAAATTAAGTTGAAACTTAACATCTCTCAGGACTTTTCTCTCAATACCTTTTCCCAGTGAAATCTTCACATAGATTTAGGATGAGCCAATCAATCCACTTTGATTTATTTCCATGGGTAGAGGTCATTGAGTAGTAATTCGTATAGTATATGTATGGTTATATACTAAATTTATTGATTTTCATATGCAGGTCTAGTTAATAGATATCTCCAGTAGAAAGACTGAAGTGGTACAATTTTTAATAAGGAATGACTTTGGGGAACTATGTGTAAATAAGCAGAGTATTGGATTTTCCTAATTTTTCCTAATCTAGATTTACTGGCAATTGCTTGTTACCTCTAGGTGTAAAAAATGAATATTAGCAGGGGGCACATTGAAAGCCCATCGTTTAATATGGTCCAACCCCGTGTTCTTTGGCTGTAATACCTTTGAAAAGGTCGTTTACAGAATAACCATTGACTCCCATTTTTGTTTGCTTTCTAGGACACTGCCTTTAGAAATAAAAAGAACAATTTCTTTTTTGGATAACTTTATTGTGTTTTGGGTGAAAGTTTAT